AATGTCTCAGAACTTTGCTTTCTAGATTGAACCTCGTCTCAAAAACCTAGTCATAAAGTGAACATAATAATGCTTCATCAACAATTTAACTACCAAAATGTGGCTTATTCTTTGTTGAAATTCATTTCGGCCATGGGACCCAAAAGTACCCATTACGATGGTGCATGTTGGCCGACGTGTCGCGAATAAATCCAGCCAAACTGCAGTTCGAGTCCCGCTAGACTCTCAGGAGAGATCGAAATTGCCATCCATCCTGGATGCGAGACCCTTTAAGAAGCAAAGTTATGCGGGATTCGGTTGGAACAAAAGACCTACTGACTATCATTCCGACGTAATGTGAAAGAAAAGAGGCAAAAATGTATTTACACGATGTAGGACGTATTAGAACGACTAGAAATATTATTGCAAAAGTGCCTCCGATAGCAACACATATTGTGTTATCTTTCAGACTACATTGATAATCATAAAAAGTTATTTGCAGTAAAAATGTATTCTCGACATCGGCCACTTTAAAGAATAACAAAAATACAAGTTACAGACTAACTTGTTTGGAGGAGGATAACGCAACGTGTTGGTAGGATTCATTTGTACGTACCGCGAATGCTGCATGTTCCGAGTTACATGCGTTTGGAGGGTCCAGCTCAGCTGACTGTAATATCTTCATAAAATCTCTTTTTGCAAGCATTTTTAGCAGAAGCATGACGCCTTAATCGGAAGTTTTTCTAATCTAAGCGAACCATAATTGTGCAATGTAATATAATCCTAGAAGCATATAATATTAAATGTTAAAAAATTAAAATATACATTTTATTTTATTTTATTGCCGTCCTATTTTGCATCAATTGCACATCCAATTCGCACATATCTATAACCAAAAATGCATATTTCAATTAATAAGAACAGATAACCTTGTGTACTGTTGGCTATGGAGACACAGTGCCGAAATCGGCAATCGGGAAATTCATTGCTGCGCTATGTGCTATGGCTGGTATCTCGTTTTTTGCGCTGCCAGCGGTGAGTATTTTTACTGTACCTGATGCCAATTGCTACTTTTTCATTTATGTCAGCCCTATTTAAATAAGTAGTAAGAATGAATGTGATAAATTTTCTTAATTTGTGCCTTAAGCAAATAATTTGAAAAAAATTCTCCTTACTCATTACATGTTTCTTCATTGTATTAGGAATGGAATCCTGCCTATATCAATCCATCATCATTTATATTTGTGTGATTTTTCACAATTTAATCGAATTCTAATGATACTGGATTTTGTTGTTCGTCTTCTTTTCAATGTCTATCCCTCATTTCTTGGCCATACTTTTCTTATGCATGTAATTAATGTTTAATCACGCACGAATATAAAATTTTATCTTTAGACTTATTTACCTCAGAGAATACACATTTAATTTACATTTTCTGCTTAGTTGAGTTTAAGAATGTGCAAATAATAAAAATCCTTCATCAGGTCTCATATATTTGGACTTATCTGATGTAAAAAAATCGTGTTGTGACCCATAAATTTCTCCACTAAGCAGAAAAAATTCTTTGTATTGCTAAACGCCATCTCAAATAAAAATAAGCAATACAGGTAGAAACGCAATGTTATCATAAATTAGACATACAGAAATGTGTACTCGCAACGCATAACCTACATAATATATCATTTCATAATATGCTGTTTCTCCTAAACAATCTGCATTTATATAGGAAAAATATTATATATATATATATATCTATTTAAAGCTTGAACAAAGATTCAAAAAAATATATTATTTGATTGTTACAAAAGATATCTGATTTATAGTCACAAACAAAATGATTCTTTCCAATATATATTCCGGCCAATTGAAAGATAAGAATATAAATGCTTTTGTCGCTGTGATACATTTTTAAAGTTAGATTTTAATATAAAAACTGTGATATAGATTTGAGCAAACTATTTTTACACGATTTTCATGAAGATTTATAATATATCATCTAACATACTCATTTTTAGCGCTTATAAATTGCTTCCTTTATGCTGGTATGTAAGTGAGATTTTTCTCAGTTCTTATGA